TGACAATTGTTAACTATAATATTTATTGACATTTTAATAACAATATTAATGACGTTGTCAAGAAAGTAATTGTTTTCATAAAACGAAAAAAATATTTTCTATAAAATAATGGCTGTTTTTTTTCTACTCAACAAACTAGTTATTTTGGTCAAAATACTTTTCTAAAATGACTGAGAAAACTCTGCAAGAATGGTTGGACGAAAATTATTTGAATAATGAGAAAGATGTAAAAATATTAATGGGTTATTTTAGTCATATTACTCCTGATTGTCATTATGATTCTCTTTCCAAAGAGGACAAAGAAAGTTATGGCTCGCCATCTTTATGGACTTGTCCTCCATCTATTACAAAAGGGGGCGAATTAGATTTAAGAGAATACGTTTGTTTAAAAAGAATATGGATTGACAAAATGTGTTTAAGTACTCCTTTTACTAAACTAGTTCTAGGATGTCTTCTTCAACTTACTCATTTGGAACTCAGAGAAAGTAATTTAGATTGTTTGGATGTTTCTGAATGTCCCAACTTGATTGAATTGATTTTCTGTAAAAATAAATCAGCACTTAAAATAAAGGTTAATAAGTTTGCTCCTATTAAAAAATTGCTTTTGAATTATACTACGTTAAAAGATTTGGAATTTTTAGAGAATATAAATAAGAAAAATGTGACTTGCTCATCTTTTAGTTATAGTAAATTTTCTCAGCAAGATTTAAGTTGCCTTGCCGAATTTGTTAACTTGGAAATTTTATTCCTTTACCAAAGCACGTTTTATGGTGATTTAAAACCTTTAGCATTCATGAATAGATTGGAATTTTTATCGATTAGTTTTACTGATATTGATGGTGGATTGGAATATCTACCAGATGGTATTAACAGACTGTGCTGTGATGGGGATACTAAATCCAAAGTGAAAAACATTGAGGAATCATTGAAAAAATAATCTTTTTCTCTAATAATTTTAAAAGGGATTGACATAGCAAACTGCACCAAATAAGAATTATGCAAAGAATTAAAAAATGTGATAAATGCAAAAAAGACTTTATTCAAAAGTGGGTAAATCGAGAAAAACACTGGAGTCAACTTAACGAAATAAATTACTGAACTAATGGTAAAAAATGGAAGAACTATCAACTCTTTTGTCGCACTTGCTTAAAAAATTGGTTCGAATTTGAGAGAGAAAAATTTAACGAATTAGTAGATAGCGAAACTAAAAAAAGGATGTTTTTTTCTTACCGTGGTCATGGTGCTTTTGACAAAAACGACTATTTAAAAACTAAGTAGAAAGAAAGTAGAAGGATATTGTCTGTCTTATATTTTTGTGTCATAAAATTAAACATAAAAATAATAATATATGAAAATCAACGAAAAGAAGTCCCAAGTGGCAAAAGAAACAAAGAAAACTGATGTAAGGCTAGTTAACGAACAATTAGATTTAGAAGTTTGCGGTATAGTTTATCCACTTAAAAAAGTAACCAAGGAAGACGACAGCAAGATAGGTCTCAATTACGAGATAGGAGATAAAGTTAACTTTAAACTACTCGTTAACGGATTTACTCGAAAGTTAGAAAAGTTGGTTGTTCTTGATTCTTGTGATGGCAAAATACTCTCTACTAGCACCTCCGCTGTGAATTCATAAATTTATGAATAAATGTATAAAATGTGGTAATAAAGTTGAATTTTGGTTTAATAATGACCATTGTGCTAGTTGCAGAAGAGAACGTTCAAAAAAAATGTTAGCAGACGCCAAAAAAACGTTAAGGGATGCTAAATCCTTCTATTCTCGTTGCTCTGAACACGAAAAAGACAATGCCGAAAAGATATTAAGGGATACAGAAAGGGGGTGTGAGGGGATGGAATTTTGTTACCTCACTTCATTGCTGTGTGATGAAAAAAACTTAACAACTTTGGAAAGTAATTATCGAATTGTTAAAAACAATCCACTTTATACTAGTAGCAAAAAGAGAAAAA